GTGTTATCTCTGTTGACACGAATGGAAATATCCCCTGAATGCACAGCCAATCCAATTTTATATGGTACTCTGCCTGTCCAGTGAGTGCAGAGGTGTTAACGGGGACAGGATAATGACTTGTGCTTCAAGAGGACATTTTCCTTCTAAGCTATACTCCGCTTCTTCTGGGTGCAAACACGCAGCTGGTCTTAGCAGACTTCACCTACTTGGAAGAGATTCCGTAGTTCACAGTGTGGGCTCACTTTTGGTTTTCCTCCAGCCGTGCTCGTTTTCTCCTGACACGAAACGCCCGCGAGGCGCTGCTCTCGCGGCGGCGGAAGGCCGCTTTGGAGCGGGCTGCGGGTTCAGCACGGCGGACAGCTCCCGCCCCGCCCGGGGTGGGCTGCCTTCCTCCTCCTCCTCCTCCTCCACAGCCTGCCTGCCAGCAGCGGGATTCAAAAAATTCCCGCCCCCCCCGACACTATCCTAAACTCAGCAGGCTTTTGTCTGTTTAAAACTGCGAGGGCTCTTGCAGTGAATGCATCTGCACTGCTATTGATGTTACCCTCCCTGATGTTTAGAAGAGTTGCTGGGGGAAAACAGAGGTACCTTTACAAGCAGGACATGATCCACTGCATCACTTAATAACAGGCTTTGCATATCTTTACTCAGCTGTTATTCGGGCTCCCTTTACAACAAAGAGGCAAGGTGCCTAAGACTAGCTCTGAGAATATCCCTGTCCATAGACTTCTTGTAATAAGTAACTTCCACGGCGTAGCAGATAGACTACTCAGCAGAGAGAAAAAAAACAAGTTTCAAGTCTCTCTTTGCACTTGCATTCACAGCCCCCATTGCCAAGAAAGTGGACTGGATATTCTGGGATGTAATTCAGCATCTTTCCTGCCTGAAGCTAGATTGCTTTGCATGGGATTATTCAATCATTGTATTAGAATCCAAATTGCCAACAGGGTGAATTAGTTTTGCAGTCATCAGGTTAGAATTGAATTAGAGAGGATGGGTTACCTTCTTCTGCTATAATGCTTGTAACTGAACTCCAGGGGGAAGTCAGACATCTTTGTCGAAATCCACCACAGTTCACAGGCTGGCTTATGTATGTTTAGCATGCTGGCTTCTATAGGGGCCATTTCCAGGCCTTCCCTTCCTAACATTGGTTGCAGAGCTGACCTTGGAATGAAGCAAGCACCTCAGGTTCTTCTGTAAATTTAATAACTAGCTTCTGTGTTGTGTGACCATCAATACAATACCCGAGTACTACATGCATATGTTAACTGCTGTCCTGCAATTTAATTAATTAGCTTCCTGTATGTAGACAGTATGCTTGATGTTTCTATTTAACATCTACCCTTAAGTGCTTTGAATAGGAAAAGACTGATAAAGTTAGTCACTAGTAGATGAAAAGGCAGCACAATGACAGATGAAACTAACAGCTGTATGATAATGCACCCTGGAGGGAATAATTTCACTCATGAATATTCACAAGTGGGTGCTAGTTTTCCAGGGCCCTGCTCAGTTGAGTGCAAACCTAGAAAAAAAGTTTTTGCTACTTGCACAGCTGTTAGCAAGAGGATAGTTTTGCTGTGATGCTAGGAAGTTACAGAAGTGTTTTACTCACTATTATGCTGGAAAAAGTATACATAACAAATGAAAGAGGACAGACATAGGAATAGAGAGTATTTACATGTGTGGTGACAAGCCTGTACTTAGTTGCTGTCACAAGATTCTTTCAACAGTTTGACATGCGAGTTACTAGGCTTTTTTGGCCCCTTCTGGTCACTTAAGAACTGTGGGGCTTTGGCCCCGCAAGAATAGCTCCAGCATCAGATGTCAAACTTGCCTTTGTAACTTCAGCCTTGTTAGAATCCAAGACAAAAATAAGATGACAAAGTGGGATCTTAGCCAAGCAGAGGGTTGTGGTGGAATTTTTTTTTCCCCTCTCTGATTAAGCTCTCACTTCTTCAAACCTTTTTAAGTCCCCTCTAAGTACTGAGGGAACAACTCAGTGAAAGTAACTGCCACCAAAGCAGAACTACAGTAACTGTGTATTTCTCAAAATACTTTCAGCCAAGCCTAAACACCAATTTCTCCATCATACTTTATCTACTTCAGTAAAACCTTTTGCAAGCCTTTGTTGTTATTCATGCCATCTCTATTTCAGAATTTATAATGTGCATTTATTTGAGTAGCATGAAATAAGCAAAGCAACACAAAGCACTGGAACAGATGAACGTATGAATTTTTATTTCTTGTGCCTTTCAGCTTCATGCTCACCTACTGTGGTAACTTGTTTCATGAAGCAGTAAATAGAAGAGTCTATAAATTTACCTGAACATAACATAACTAGTTTATAGCAAATGAAAACTTTATTTCCAGCATTGCTGCTATAAAGTTTTAGAATTTCATGGATATTACCTTATATTTAATATTTATTTGCATATATTTCCTTGTTTTAAAAAACACCCACAGACTCTAACCATACAAGTTGTCAGATTATCAACTCCACATAAATGTTACACTTATGTTTATTTTTATCCTTGTGAATAAAGTTTCAACTCACAAAATTCTGTCACTTACTGGTGGTTTTGGGTTTGTGTGGGGGAGGGGCTACAGAAGCTTCTAGAAGCTTCCCTGGCTCCAAGTCAGACCTACCTCTGGCCAAGACCAACCCAGTCAGCGATGGTGGTAGTGTCTATGGGCAGTGGAGAGGGGAGTGGAATGTGAGAGAAACCCCTGTGCAGACAGCAAGGTCAGTGAAGAAGGAGGGGGAGGAGGTGTGCCAGAGGAGGGGATGCCCCTGCAGCCCGTGGTGAGATGGCAGGCTGTCCCCCTGCAGCCCATGGAGGTGAGTGGGGGAGCAGATGCCCACCTGCAGCCCGTGGAGGAGCCCACGCTGGAGCAGGCAGATGCCCCCGAAGATGGCCGTGACTCCATGGGAAAGCCCACACTGGAGCCGCCTGTGCCTGAAGGACTGTGGCCTGCAGAAAGGACCCATGCTGGAGAAGTTTGTGAAGGACTGCAGCCTGTGGGAAGGACCCATGGCAGAGAAGTTCATGGAGAACTGTCTCCTGTGGGAGGGACCCCACACTGGAACAGGGGAAGAGTGAGAAGTCCTGCCCCTGAGGAGGAAGAAGCAGCAGAGACAATGTGTGATGAACTGACCCTGACCCTCACTCCCTGTCCTCCTGTGGGGGAGGTAGAGAAAATCGGGGGGTGGAGTTGAGCCCAGGAAGGAGGGAAGGGTAGGGGAAAGGTGTTTTTTAAGATTTGGTTTTACTTCCCATTATCCTTGGTTTTTATTTGTTCAGTAGCAAATTAAATTAATTTTTTTTTTCCCCAACTTGAGTCTGTTCTCTGCCCATGACCATAATTGGTGAGTAATCTCTCCTTGTCTCAACCCATGAGCATTTCTTTGTATTTTCTCTTCATCCCACCACGGGGGAAGGAGTGAGTGAGCAGCTTCGTGGTGCTTTGTTGCAGGCTGGGCTTAAACCATGACACTGCTGTATTTGAGTGTCACTTGACTACTACTTACTCTCTAATTAGAAGAACACTGTCTAAGAATGGAAAGACTCACAGTTCATGGTTCTCCCAAAGAAACAAAGCTTTATATTTGCAACTTTATCTCCACTACAAAAAGGCCTTTGAACCTGCAGAGGCTATGGTAATCAAAACCAAAATGCAGCATACTACTTGTGTAGAGTCAGAAGGAATCAGTAAGAATAGTGAGAACACTAAGGGGTTTTTACCAGAGGGTGGTGGAATTTGTGCAAATCCAAAAATTCTGTCCTTGGTTTTAAATAGCAGCATTTGGAACTTGGACAAGAGATCAACACTAGAAGCTAAGAGAGCGCTGTGGAGAGCTCCTGAGAGATGCTTAGCAGTGTTAAACATACTACTTGTGCTTTAATCTACTATTCTCTTTCCACTCCAATTAAATTCAATAAAGAACACTTTTTTTTCCCCAACCAATGATGGAACATGGGGTAAGTCAAGCCTGAACACTGTGTGTAACTTAAATTAGAAAAGGCATAAGGAAACAGGATTTGAAAGACAAATTTTTTACTTTTCTTCTCAATTCAGTCCTCATAAGCACAAGCTCTACCAGCTGCTCTTCACTGTGACTTAATGATTTAATGCAATGATCTCTATAGTACAAATACCAATGTATCATACAAGTACACCTGACAGTCTGTGGGATGATGATGAGAAGCATCATCAGCTGTGCTGTGCTAAAAGGACTGTATCGAATGACAGGACAAATCCCCTGCCATCTGAGGGCCTCTTACATTTCCACATCTGCGGCACACTCACCCTAATTTTTTTTCAAAATGACATTTAAAGAAAAACATGTATTAACTGCCAGGAATAATAGTAAGTCTTTTTTGCTTACACTACAGCTGATGAAAACTGTAGTATGAAGCAAACAGGGAACATGCATTAACATCAGATGTTTGTGTTAGAGGAGAGATGTGAGTGTGAACAGAAGCAGCCACCTATTTTAGGTACACTGATAGTGCCTCATGTCTTTTCTTCAGAAAGAGGATTGTAGCCAGTGCTGGCGGTGCTACTAAAGGTGTCATCAAACGCCGGCCTTCCCGTTACCGGTGGCAAAGGCCATCAGGAGCACAAATTCACCCGCTGACACGCCAACAGCTACAGCTGTGAGAAGGCCGTGCCTCTCGGTGCCGCTGCCACAGCAGCGAAACCAGCAGCCGTGCCGTGGGTCTGCTGCCAGCTGCCCGGCCCCCGCCCCCGCCAGGAAACGAGACCTGAGCGCACGCTTTGCTACGGCTTTATTCGGGACCGGACCGCGCCTGGGGAAACCGGGCCAGGAGTAAGGCGCAAGCGGCGTTTTGCATAGAAATACCCCCCTTGTCCTCCTCCTCCTCCCCCAGCCCCGCCTCGGGTCCGTGGTACGAGGGGCGGAGGCAGCGGGGGCCGCCCCAGCAAAGCGGCTGTCCCCGCCAGCCCAGGCGCTCCCTCGGCCGCCGCCGGGCCGGTCGCTACCTCCCGGCGGCGGGCCGGTAATGCAGCTCCCGCTCCAGCTGCTCGGCCGTCAGCGTCCCCGCGATGGCGGCGCACCCGGGGTTGAAGACGGAGTAGGCGCTCAGCTCGCCCCGCCGCTGCTCGGCGGGGCCGCGGGTGCCGGCGTACATCCAGTAGAGCAGGGAGAGCACGAAGTAGGGCAGCCCCAGCTCCACCTCCGCGAACAGCGCCAGCAGCACCGCCCACAGCAGC